TTCAGTTTAATAAGATTATGTTTGGCAAACTAGCGGATAAGGTAGCTGGAAACTGGTTAATGAAGTTTGACAAAAATGAGCTAATCTAACATTTTATAAATGTAATTAGAAACAATCATTAATAATATAATAGGTTAATCAATACAATCAAATGATAAAATAAAATAGTATAATATGTCAATTAATGAAATTTCAATTTGATTATATATATATATATATATGTATATATATATATATATATATATATATAGATAGATAGATGGATAGATAGATAGATATGTAGGGTTGGTTTCACGTGAGACCAATTTGCTTTCGTGGGACCCGTGCGACCACATTTTTACAATTAAAACTTTAGAGCAAAACACTGTGAAGGTAAAAAAATTTGAACCTTCATAGAAAAGACGTTGTGAAAGTTACCTGAATAGTGTTTTGCTGTGAAGTTTCAAGTGTAAAAAAGTGGTCTCACGAAAACAGTCTGGTTTCACATAATTCCAAGTCTCTATCTCCCTCCTCTCTCTCTCTCTCTCTATATATATATATATATTATATATATATATATATATATGTATATATATAGAATTTGGATCATGTGAGACCAAAGGTTTTTCGTGAGATCAGTAAGACCAATTCTCAACCCTTGGATTAGATCTACAATCTGAACATTCATAATCACAAATTTGTCACGAAACTTTTCAATAATCACAAAATTGCCACCCTGCAACTTTAGACCATTAGATCATTAGTTTATAAAGTTGATCAATGAACATAAATTGGTCTTACGGGTCTCATGAAAAACCATTAGTCTCACGTAAACCCAACCCTATATATATATATATATATATACATATATATATATAGAGTTCCCTTCTTTTGTTAACCAAACAAATAGTATTAACTTTGTCCACCAGGGCATTTTTGTCTTTTTTATATATTGATACCACATTACTTAAATATCTCGTTCACTTAATTATTACATTCCTTAATTATCATATTTCTAAAATATCTGGTTTCTTCATATCACGTTCTTTAATTATTATATTCATTAAATATTAAGGAATATTACTTAACGTTCCATCATTTATTGTTTCACCTATTAACTTGTTTAAACTTCTTTAAGTATCTTACTCATTTTCTGCTTTCATCTATGAACTTTGGTAAAAAAAATTGGAACAACCAAAGTTTATAAAAAAACAAAAATCATTGTTTCACTAATGAACCTTCTGTTTCACCTACAAACTCTGTTAAGTATTCTTAATTATTTCATTCAGTTTGTGGTTTCATTTATGAACTTAAGTAAAAAATTTAGAACAATCAAAGTTTATACACGAAAAACATTATGAATTTTAAATCAAAATATTGTTTCACCTATGAGCTTTAAAAAAATATTGTTTCATCTATGAACTTTGGTATAAAAAATGGAACAATCAAAGTTCATGGACGAAACCTAGATCAAAACTATAAATGCATCAAACAATTTCCAGAAATGAATGTAAAAACCCACTTATTTTAGGGATAAATGTGGTTGTAATTATCTTCCAAAAATACGACATACTATGTTTCAATATTATCCGTGTCTTAATTTCATTTGATATATTTCCTTTTTAATCAGTTTATAATCTATCATTTGATCATACTCGTTGATTAATAAAATAAACAGCTCAGATGAGTTTGTAAATTTAACACCAATATATTGGTTAATAAAAGAATATATATATATATATATATATATATAAGCCTAATCAAATGAGAACTAATTAGTTTGTGGTAACCGTGAAGTTCAATCTCAACCACAAATCAATAGATAAGTTAGGAAATTTATAATTTTAGTAATTTTGAATTAAAATTTTAATGCAAAGACATTTTAGGTATTTAAAAACTCTTCTTTCTTCTCTCTTCTCTCTCCGTCCCCCGTCCTCCGTCCTCCGGCCACCGTCCTCCGGTGGTATGCATCTTATATGTGCTTGGGTATCACACTGAGGTCGTTTATGTGGTCGATCAGAGATGTAACACAGTGTATCACAATACATCTTATATGTGTTTGGGTATCACATTGTGTCTTTTGTTTAACAGAGTCAATATTTTTAGGTATCACAGTGGTATTGCCGGAGGACGGTGGCCGGAGGATGGAGGTGTGGGACGGAGAGAGAGGAGAGGAGAGAAAATACCTAAAATGTCCTTGAATTAAAGTTTTAATTTAAAATTACCAAAATTATAAATTTTCTAATTTACATATTGATTTTGTGGTTGAGATTGGATCTCACAGTTAACACAAACTAATCAGTTCTCCCTTGAATGGACCCCTATATATATATATATATATATATATAGAGAGAGAGAGAGAGAGAGAGGGGGGGGGGTTCTAGTGAGAAAGAGAGTTAGGTGAGAAGTATAAGAAATGATCTTCATCCTTAGATACATATTAAGATAAGATGCACCACATCAATCCCCATATCAAACATGATTCGCAGTGGGTTTGAGATTAATGGTGATCAAGGGTCCAGAACCATTCTTACGCTTGTCATCTTAATTCTACTTCTTACACAATCATTCCCATATATATATATATATATATATATATATATATATATACCATGTTCAACCGAGAAAACTGTCAATCGATGAGAAAATGATATGATTACACGTGATACATACATTTAATCATATATGGTTAAACACATGCTATGTTGAACGACACATAGCTAGCGAACGACTTTTGGTCGTGCTCATCAAGTCTCCTGCATCTCTTTGGAATGTGTGTTAATTATATATGATTAAACATATAATGATTCTAAAACTTATTATTACCCTTCCATTCCATCCCATCCCCTATGGAGGATTTTTGGTAATTCAGGAACTTTAGACCATCTTTTGATCAATGACAAGTTTGAGTTGTTGATATCATTTCCAAAATAAAATTCATAAAAAACTGATTTAATAATAATTTTAATTGATAAAATTATATCTACATAAATGATTTTTGATATCACATATGAAACAATTAGTGGTAAAAATTATTTGATCTGGTTATCATAAAAAATAAGTAGTTAATAAGTAAATTTATCGTCTATGTCAGATCATACCAGCTATATTTTTAAAAAAATTCTTGCATCAACTACTATGTACATCTTTTTATGTATAATTTAAAGGGTAAAATTGTCTTTTAAGAAATATTGATATTTGTTGCTATGTTGATTGCGCAAATAAATACTTTTCATAATTTTAATATTTCTATTTGATTTAAAAAGTAAAATGTTAAAACTTGTTATCAAAATAAACAATATTTTAAAATAGTTAATGTTGCAAAACTGATATAATTGATCATTGTGACCTATAAAACTAGTTAATATGATTTGGGTTTCTTCCTTTTTTTTTAACTTTAAAACCGATTTACCATTATAGTAGTTATCAGTAACGTTTTTGGTCAAATGATGTATTTATTCGATTTTATAAAATTAAAAGATTTATCTATCTATACTATATTATAAAACATTTGACAAAAAAAATTAAAAATAATTTTTTATGCATAAAATTAGTATTGTTCATTGATGCATATTACTTAAATTTCAAGATTACAAGTTGATTGTGCGTAAGTACAACTTATTAAAGCTTCATGTTTGAATTTGTATAACTAACTGCATATAAATATAATCAAATACATGATAAACATCATTTTAAATATAAAAAATCTAAAATATATTTAAGATAATCAATGAGTTCTAACGGAATACTTAATTATTATTTTAAAAAAATTAATTTATTAAACCAAAAATAAATTAGTTTGTTTTTAAAATTCAATTAAATTATAATAAAAAATTGAATTAAAAAGATTACACAAAAAAAAACTTTTAAATAGTTAATTTGATACTAATATCGCTTATTTTTATCAAAATTTTATGATATATTCAAATTTATATTTCATTCAAAAATAAAAATATTTTATTTTCTCAAAACCACATAAAATCGAATTATAACATTAATAGACCCAAACTACAAAACAAAATATTAAAATCAAGATGTATTTTTTTGTATTTTACGAGTACCCTTCTAGTTTATATTAAAGAATTAATAAATAATATTTAATATTTGTTAAATAATTAACAGCCATTAATATTAATCAGGTGTAAAGAAAAAATTGAGCTTATTGAAATGCCACATTAATAAGACTTTGAAATAAATTTAAAAAAATTAATTTTAATGTGTAGTTTTTACAAAATAATTTATTAATAAAAAAAAACTTGGTGTGTACTCCATGAACCGGGCCGGCCGGCCGTCCGTCCGTTGATGAATCATGCCAAAATATCGGGAAAGGAGCAATGTATCGCGAGATATTGTCGGCGAGTTCCGACATGACGATCAAACAATGGGACGGGGAATCTGAAGGAAGGGAAGGGCGTGACACGTGTAGCGCTTACGATGGGTCGTTGCTCATTTAATACCTCCACTCCTTTGGTCTACCTGGCTCCCATTTATTGGCTGCCTTCTTCTTCTCCAACTCACTTTCCATACAAGATTCTTTATATGTACAACCCTACCAATCCACACCGTACAACTATTCTTTTTTTACCTCCATAATTTACTTTTTCATCTTATTCAATCATGGCTCATTTTTTTTTTTCGTTTTCGAATTATATAAAAAATAACGTATTTTAACTTGATTTTTATCTTAAGTAATATATTTTTTTAAAATTTTATTTTAGTATCTAACATGTAAAATTTTATATATTTAAGTATCTGAATTAAAATATTAATCGGTTACCATTATGAAAAAGAGATAAAACTGTGTAGTTTATGGGAAGAAATAGTCATATTTATTTTCGGATCTCATAAAAAATTCTTTATATTTTTGGGTTTGTTACTTAAACCCTTTTTTTTAATGATTGAAAATTAAATAATAATATATATATAATTAATATTTGTATAAATAAATGTTTACAAAGTTCCATTTTTAGAGAGTGCACATAAGTTCCCATAGATCCTTGTGCCCACCCACTTATATCATCACCCCACAACCCCCTCTTTTAACTCTTCTCTCCATCTCGCCGGCCACCGACACTTTTTTCCTTTTCCGGCGACCCTTCTCATCTATTCGCCACTTCTTTCAACAATTCTCAGTTGTCACTAGATTTGAAAATCTAGATGAAAGATTTAATGGTCTCTTTTCTTTCTAATTTCTGCCATTAATGTGCTGCTGAAATCCAAGGGGTTGGGTTCTGTTCTGTTCTGTGTAATTGAGGAGTGCCTGGAATGACGGTGCATTTTCATCACAATTAATTTCACTTGCTTCTTTTCTGCTAGACAAGTCTGCCATTAAATTCTAGTTGGATCGGGCTTAATTGTGTTATGTTCCCTATACATAATTCGGATCTTGATTACTTTCTCACATACATCGGTTCACCGACAATTTAGCGGTTTTCTTCAGATCTCTTTCCTTGGTAGATACTTAGGGTTTGAGTTGTGGATGTATGAAACAGATATGTGTAGGGTAGACGATAGAGATAAGAAGAAGAGGAGGTTTGCAATTGGAGCAATGGGGTTGAAGACGTTAGGAGAAACTAGGGTTGCAAGGTTAAAGAGTTCTATGGCGAATGCAAGGTCTCCTAAGATGAAGGTATGGTTGATTAGGGCAACAACCACGGTTTTGTTGTGGACTTGCTTGGTTCAGCTCACAGCATTAGGGGGTACATGGGGACCTAGGGTTTTGAAAGGTTGGCCTTCTTGCTTCACTCAAGATTCTCATTCTGCTGCTGCTTTAGATATAAAGTTGTTGCCCACTGTTCCTGCCAGAGTTCTTCCACCCAAGAGTGAGTTTATCTTTCTTCATCTGCTTCCTTGTCTTCTTTCTGTTCCTTCTTTTTGTCATTATTTGTATACATGTATCTGCTTCCATGTGTTTATGTTTATGATTTATAGTCATGAAAGAAACCAATGATTATTTGACAAAGACGATACTGTTGGAGAAGGGGAAGAAAATTATATATCCCTGAAATTTGGATGACATGATCTTCACTAATAATTTCTTAAAATTGTTTTGTTTAATAGAAATTGAGGTCAATCAAGCTCTATCCTATATGAATTTGACATCTAAATTGATTTTGTGTTGAAAATGTAGGAGTTTACAAGAACAATGGTTACCTAGTGGTTTCATGTAATGGGGGACTCAATCAAATGCGTTCTGCTGTGAGTGTTCTTTTTTAACTCGAGCTCACAAAGATTATTCAGTGAACTAGTTTGTTGTAGAAAAAAATTAAATTGCTTTCTATCTTAGCTTTTTCTTCATCATGCAGATTTGTGATATGGTTGCAATTGCTAGATATTTAAATGTTACTCTTATAGTTCCCGAGCTGGATAAAACTTCTTTCTGGTCTGATCCAAGGTACGTTGAGTTTGTAGGTCTTCACTTTTTATTAAGGTTCACGTTTTCTTGATTTTGATTGTTCTGATTCTTGAATGGCAGTGAGTTTGAGGACATTTTTGATCTTGATCATTTCATTACATCCTTGAGAGATGAGGTCCGGGTGCTAAAACAGCTTCCTCCCAGGCTTAAAAAGAGAGTGGAATTAGGAATTGTGCATACCATGCCGCCCGTTAGCTGGTCTGATATTTCTTACTATCATAACCAGGTAGTGTTTATATTCTTTCTGTACTTTAAGCCTTTAACAATGTTCGTTTTTTATCTATGTTTACACCATAGTTATGCTTTTGTTCTCGCTGCATGCAGATACTTCCTCTGATTCAAAAATATAAAGTTGTGCATTTGAACAGAACTGATGCACGGCTTGCCAATAACGGTCAGCCCCTTGAACTTCAGAAGCTCAGGTGCCGAGTAAATTTCGGTGCTCTGAGATTTACAACTCAGATAGAAGAGTTGGGCAGACGGGTTGTTAAACTTTTGAGACAAAATGGGCCTTTTCTAGTGCTTCATTTAAGATATGAAATGGATATGTTAGCATTTTCTGGATGTACGCAAGGATGTAACGCTGAAGAGGTGGAAGAGTTGACAAGAATGAGGTTTGAGCTTCTTACATCCGCAATTTGAGCAGTGTGAAATTTAATTAAAATCCCCTTTGCATAACTCCTTGTTTTTGGCAGATATGCGTACCCATGGTGGAAGGAAAAGATAATAAATTCTGATTTGAAAAGGAAGGATGGTTTATGCCCTTTGACTCCAGAGGAAACTGCTCTTACGCTAAGGGCACTGGATATTGATAATGATATCCAGATTTACATTGCTGCTGGTGAAATATACGGTGGAAAAAGGAGAATGGATAGTCTTGCAGATGCCTATCCGAAACTGGTTCGTATTAAAAAACTATTCTTGACCATGATTTATGTCTTCTCGGCCTTAAATGTGAATTTGTATATGTTTTTAACAGGTAAGAAAGGAGACTCTATTAGGTCCAGCTGACCTTCAGTATTTCCAAAACCACTCATCACAAATGGCAGCATTGGACTATCTTGTATCACTGGAGAGCGATATTTTTGTACCTACTTACGATGGAAACATGGCCAAAGTTGTAGAAGGACATCGCAGGTACCATTATACACGCCTTAGAATTGTTGATAAAAATGCGAACTCCTTAGAATTTTGGATCTAGTCTAGAATAATAGTCTTTAGTTCCACTTCTTGGGTTGATTGTTTGAATCTCTATAGCAATTGAAGCAGACCTAAATATTGCAAATGGTTTTCAGATTCTTGGGTTTCAAGAAGACAATACTGTTGGATAGGAGGCTTCTGGTTGAATTAATCGACAAATATAATAGCGGGTTTTTGAGTTGGGATGAATTCTCAAATGGTGTGAAGGAAGCACACGCAGAACGGATGGGGAACCCGACAAAAAGATTAGTGATTTCAGATAGACCCAAAGAAGAAGACTACTTCTATGCCAATCCAGAAGAGTGTTTGCAGGCATCAGCAGAAGATGAACCTGTGAGCATCCTATGATGAGGCATATGCGGATGAATTTGGTCCGAATTTGAAGATTATGATTCCATGGCCTCAAACCGGTCAGTGTACGAGGATGATATGTCCAAAGATACGAGGCTGCAACGACATAGACTAAATTGCATTTTGATGGAACGGGGTGGCAGACACGAGAGATCTTTCCACGCATAGATATGGCGTTCGATTATTATTAATGTCTTTGTTTTGATTTCATATGTATGGGTTATTGTCAATAACTGGCATTCATGTATAGAAACCACCCTGACATTGCAGGGTTATTTGAAACGAATGATATAGGAATCAAAACAAAATACGTTTTTTTTTTATCATTCAAAAGTTGGTTGATTATTATAATAACATGATTATTATTTAGAAATATTGTTATAATAATGCATACATTCCTTTCCATTCCATTGAAAATGATGATTTGGGAATTAGTGATGTAAATGGGAATGATTGATTAATGGCATTATTCAAATCCACCCATCTGTCATTCATGATTGTTGACTTTTTTGGGTCCTAGAACAACCACTAACCACTAAAGAAAGAAAGAAAACAGGGGTGGTTTGCACCATTAGCAACTAAACAATTGGATTTCAAAGGCATGTACAAAGGTGGGTTTCATGTCAACCACACCATGGATTATATTCAAACCACTAACTCAACTGATAAATAAATGTCGGGTTTTATGGTTTTTCTTTGTAGATAGTCGAAGCCTCTCATAATTACTCGGAATTTCATGATTATTATATTTTGGACCCGATGAAATTAACCGAGGTAAATTTGAGTCGACCCAAATGCCTATTGACCTGTGGTTATAGCAACTAAAATAAGTCGAGTTTTGTATTTCAAACTTCCAACTTTCTATACTTTTTTTATGAGCTTAACGTTTTTTGCAACACCCGTAATTTTTGGAGAACGGCCGGGAAAACAATTGGAAAAACGGTCGGGAAATGGCCGAGAAACGGTGTGGAGAATAGAAACATATAGAAAACGGTTGAGAATCAGTCAGGTAACAGTCAGAAAATGGTCGAGAAACAGTCGGAAAACGACCGGGAAAGTTGAAGATCAATGAAAGGTGATGCAAAGTTTTGAGGAGGTAAGCATCTTTTTGGTATTTTGAGCCATATGTTTTGGGTTTTTGATGGATTTGAAGTTTGTGTAAATATTTGATGCCTCTTGATTTGAATGTTTTTTCTTGAGGTGCTTTTGGGGAGTTTACCTTGTGGAACTCGAATCTTCATCATTTGGGAAGCTAGAGACAGGTTTGGAGTCTAGATTTAACTTAACCTAGCAAAATGAGTTTCAAGTTGGTTTGTGAAAATTTTGTACATGTCAAAATCTCCATTTTGGAGTCTTAAAATAGTTTTCTTGATATTTATCAAATGTTGTTGAGTGTTCAAGAAAATTGCGTATTTGATTTTATAAATCTTGAAAAATGCTTATAATTGGGAATTTTGGACATCTGGATAAATAAATTAATAAATGTGGTATTTTGATGATTTGTTTAGACACACACACACACACATATATATATATATATATATATATATATAGAGAGAGAGAGAGAGAAGGGGAAGGCTCATTTAGGAATCTTAAATATTTTAGGAACCCATGAACCACCTATTTTGTGAGTATTCATGATGAATGATGTGACAGACAATCATTGTCCATGCGTTCCTAAAATATTTAAGGTCCCTAAATGAACATACCCCTTTATATATATATATATATGTGTGTGTGTGTGTGTGTGTGGAGGGGTTGGATTTCGGTGAAAATGAAAGTTAAGATGAGAATCGTAAGAAGGGATTTTCACCCTTGGATGCATATTAGGATGAGATGCACCAGATCAATCCCGTATTAAGCGTGATTTATGGGTGGGTTTGAGATTAAAGGTGATTAAGGGTCCAAATCCCTTCTTACGCTTCTCAATTTAATTCTCCCCCTCACACGATCCTTCACCTATATATATATATATATATATATATATATATATATACACACACACACACACAGAGACACACATACAAAGAGAGAGAGAGAGAGAGAGAGAGAGAGAGAGGGGGTGGTTCATTTAGGAACCTTAAATATTTTAGGAACATAGGACAACCTATTTTGTGAGTATATTTGATGAATGTTACATTCATGATGAATAATACTCATCATGATTACTTGGAAAATAGGTCGTCCATGCGTTTCTAAAATATTTAAGGTTCCTAAATGAACTTGCCCCTATATACAATGGAGATTAATTGAGGTAAATGCACTTTTTAGTGTATTTGGTTTTATAAATTGTTCGCCAGTTTCATATTTTGTATAAACATTGGATAAATGTGTATTTTGACTTATATTGATTTTTACTGTGCAGTCAAATGAGTTATGGAGTTTATTGATTTTGATTTTGACTCGCATGAGTTTTAGGGTAAATTGTTTGGTTTAAATTGCTCAAAGTTGAGTTTTGGATGTTACTTGTATATGCATATTTATTCGAGAATTACATGTTGAGTACATTGGTCATTCATTTTGAGTAATGTAATTTAGACCATCACTCATTGGATTCATAGACATAAAATTCAGTCGTGTTTGGTAAGTGAGAAGTTTTGATGTTCCCATTTTTGACCGGTGCTCGAGTAGGTATTGTGGCCATTGCAGTATTACATTTACAGAGGTGAACTCAAATAAGCCGGACTTTGGGACCCTAGTTTTGAGGTTTTTTGGCCTAGTTGAGTAGGCACTAAGGACTTTATCCTTGAGGTGCTAACTCGAGAGATATGCACTAAGGTTATGAGCCTTGAAGTGAAACCTCAAAGAGTAAGCACTAAGATTATTGAGGTGCTACCCGAAGTGGTAGGCACTAAGAACCATGAGTCTTGAGGTGCTACCCGTTGCAGTAGGTACTAAGGACATGATCCTTGAGGTGAAACTCGAATGAGTAGGCACTAGGGTCAACTGAATCTTGATGTGCTACTTGATAACATTGATGTATGGCTTCTTTTGTGTTCACCACATTCATTGGACACAACCGTCACCAAAAGGTGTTTATTTTTGGATAGCTTATTATCACGAAAATGGTGGCTTTCGGAAAAGATGTTTTTATACTAAATACATTTCATTTTGGAAATGTTGATTTAAATAACAATTTTTCAGTTTTACCGTTTTACATTAACAACGAAAACTTCTTGAACTCACTAGGTGTTAAGCCTAACACTATTTTTAGTCAGCATGCGTATCAAATCCTTGTTAGGGAATGGTACTAGCGACACTGTGAAGAGTTGAATGCTAGTTAGAGGCACAAGAAGAATTTAGCCTTCAAGGCCATTCGGGGACATTTTCATTCTTGAGGCGATTCACTAGCATTAATGTGATGCTTAACGGTACAAACACAAAACGATATAATACAATAAAAGGGCACTTGCTCACATTTCACTCGAGTGATATTTCATATCAACGGTCTAAAACATTGCCTTACAAGATGTTCAAGTAAGCTTAAGCGATCATAATCGTGAACACGAACATGGGTGCCAGATAAAAACATGGTTTTTCCCCACTTGGTGTCCAGGGACTACAAAACATTCATCTACCTTGTATCACCTTCAAAGCAAAAATACAGACCCCAAAACAAGATATGCAATTTCCATCATTGAATACTATAAGACAAAACTATCAATGGATTCCTGTACTAGAAATAATAAATAAAAAACCACTACATGTACAGTGCATCAATTCAATATCAACCTTTAGTCGTTTATGCTTGTTTTCAATCTCTTCAGGCCTTTATCATTCTCCTCCTCCTCCCTACCGCTTGCATCGACGCCAACAATTTGTGTTTTCTGGTGCAAACAAAACGTTATTTGGTCGCTACACGTACATTTGATCCATATGTTGAATAAAAAAACAGAAACCTTACCTTAAAGTTTGGTGTTGAGGAATTAGGATATGCTCTCTTTCCTAAGTCGATTTGTATGGAGATACTCGCTCGTGACAATTCCACACCCGAGCTCTGTAATGCTTGGGTGAGAGTACTCAATAACCTGTAATTTTATATTCACACGTTATTATTGGTAAAAAAACAAAAAAAGCTACATGAATGTATCATGATTATAGTAGCTAGCTAGCTCACCCTTGGGAGTAGATGGTTGAGATGCTGATTGTTCCATTTTCTATTATTAGTTCCTGCTCTTTCAACTTATTATCCCACTTAACACTGCAATCAGTAGCACACAATCTACTATGACAGAATTCAGGTTCATGTCTGGATAGAGGTGCAGCAGCACAGATGTTTGGCTGCAAAGCCATAGGGAAAGAAGATGCTTCTTTTGTGGATTGATCAATTTCCTTGATAGAATCAAGACGACTCATGTCGGTGTCTAATAGGTTTTGGCCTTCTCGGGGGATGTTTGGTGCTATACTGATGTTGTTCTCATCGAGTTTGGCAGCAGCATACACCATTGCTGGTCCAGATGCACCATTTGGGACTTGTGTTGGTCTTTGACTGTTCTGTTTGAACCAAGGTCAAAAAAAGAAAACTAACATGTTCAGGGAGTCACCTACAACAATTAACAGGTTCTTGAAACAGAAATGGTGCACAAGTAATAAATTTACCCAAGGGATTGTCTTTGGTGGTTCACTGCTCCATCCCTGATATGAATCTTCATACTTGTGCAGCTTCTCTTGTAGAAACTGGATGTATTCAATAACCTATAAAATTTAAGATGGATGTTACATCAGTAAAACCTTCAAATCTGGTTCAGAAAATGATCCAAAATATCACAATTTGTGGCTATACCTCTAACAGGAATGATGCCTTATCTCTCTTTTGATCGCCATGAGGGATGATATCTCGCAACATTGAAAATCTGCACAAGTTCCAAACTTCATTCTTATAAATCTTGGTAACTTTTGTTTGTATGGTAAGCAGGGTATCTAAAGTGGACCAGATAGCATGTTGAATCTTTCTGACATGCATGCCATCATCTATAAGCTCTATGTAAGTCACCAAAAGATCCCTTAAAAAACTAGAAATGATTTCTGCTGTATTTGTGCAGCCATGCGAAAAGAAAACAATAATAAAGAGATGGTGTAAAACATCACTCTAATTTCTGAAATAGAATGATCAACCAGATATAACTAATAAGCCAATACTAAAAAAGACCAAGGAAAAGGTAAAAGCAGCACCACAAACACAGGCTTGCTGAGTGAAATTAAACCAAGTTGAAGCTTTAGAAGTACATGCCTGTCATTGATTTTGCTTCTTCTACGCTGTTCTGTAGCAGAGTGCTTCGACCGCAGGATATTAGGCGTTTGATCGGGTTTTGGTTCAACTTTAACTGAAACAACATCTATCAATTTAAGATTCATTTAAACAGTCCAAGAATAGGAATTATTGTGTGTGACTGTGAGTGCTATAGAGAGAGAGAGGGGGGGGGGGGGACCTTTGCGGTGGGAGGATGTCTCTGTCTTGATAACAAACTCTCCATCATTATCATCCACATTTTCTTGGGAAGGTTTAGCGGATTTTAACATATCAACAAAACTCTGATTCTTTTGTGCTGAATGACTGCAAAAAATACCAACATACTGATGCTAAATTCAGCAGCAAGAAACAAGTTCAATACTTTATAGAAGATATGTAGGAACGAGAAAAATTTGACCCACGGATAACCAATGTTTGTGGTCGGATGGTTATGGATGGATGAAGACTGTGATGGTGATGTTATCCATGGAACTCCTCCAATCTTCATGTCCCCCTCTGTTAAGCAAACACTATAAGTTCTAAAAAGACTTATACCTATATATATATATATATATAAGATTGAATTTTGAAGTTAGAATACAAGGAGGAAGTGAAGGGGCAACTGATTTACCCCTTATGATGTGCCTGTTGCCAGCAATATTCTCCTTCCCTGTCTTTCCCTTGTTTCCAGCAGATTCTTCCCACAGTTTGAAACCATTCCCATTCCCAGCTGTGTAAGAACTGCCTTTTGAGTTTTCATCATTTCTATCACTACTACTTGACTGTGCAGCTTCAGGCTTTGATGATCTATGGCTTTGATTGATGTAAGAAATGTGATTAATGCTGTAACTCCCAATCCCACTAGGAAGAATGTTGGACATGGGTTTTTCAGTAGATCTTATTTCATCACCATTCTTCCCCACTAGCGGTTGCAATAAGTCGTATGTTTTGAGGTATCGACCTATTTTCAGCCATGGCGGTTAGATAATAGAACTTGTATTTCTTTAACAACAAACAAGAATGGTGTATGTCGAGTCATTATCCTACATGTCTTTTGTCATGCATATGTTATTTTGTGTTTAAACTATATGATTCTTTTTAACATTTCCTATCTGTTTCATGATATAAACAAGAAAGAGATGGACCTCTCCAGAAGAAGCTCTGGATGGATGGGTCCCAGTTAAACGCATTGATGTCAAATCTGGGTGATGGTACCATTTAAAGAAAAAATCCAAAAGGCATGGCCCACCCGACCCATTTGCTCAGATCCATCATGGGGTCACGGGTATCACCCACCATTCGTGGGTACAGACTACAGACAACATATATTATCATAAATTCATCCCCACACATACACCAAAAAGGTAAATCAATTACCAACACGAGAGAAACATCATAGCATAAGGCTCAATTTAATAAATCATTTCACTCACACACATGCATGAACACCAAATTCTGATCCATTCCACCACAAGACAAAGCAATTCTCTCCACCTTAAAAATAAAAAATAAAAATAAAGACAACCCAAATGAGAATCTTTGAAAAAATCGATTAAAAGATCTCGTGTGGTTCAATTTATTATGTTCATTTAATGTTCTTGTTTTCTGTTTTTTGTATATGTCGTGAAAGAAAACAAATCAGTCAGCATATGTACTATTTATGATGGAAATGAAGTAAACCAAATTATAATATAGACAAATGAAAATTTATATTTGTATACAACTACGCATCAACGATGAGTTTTTCGGTTTTAGCTTGAAACTGCTACTTAAAACACATGCTTAAGATAATGGTACTATATATTTGGCCATGGTACTATAGTCTAAATGTTGTGTAATCATCTTTTGTGTGATAGTCTAAAGTCTAACCCTTTTTGTCAAAATTTAATTTTCCATGCACGTTTTACTCACGGTTAGTAAATTATTTTTGTTTAGGCCAGCCATGAATTGGATGGTAGATACGGCCAACATAGCCAAATATGTCTTACCTAACGAAGATAATCATGTAATCTTTATCATAATTTATTTGTTTTTGGAACGTGTCTTTGACAAAGACCATTAATAGCTAGGTAATACATTTTCGATCATCGCAATTGCTGATCTAACTTTTATTGGAACATGAATTCTTTATACGAACCACTAACTTTCTTACAACACGTTTAGCGTACATGAAATATGGGAAAAAATTGTGGACCATAACAAGGTGACATTTTTAAGTCCATACGAGGAGGAGGAGGTGACTTTCCCACTCAAAAGTAGTATCATGAAAAATATGATAAAAACAAGTTGTTTATGGAAAAACTTACCACAACCAGAACCAGAACAGTAAATAGTAACAGTAGTAAAAATATATTGAAGATGGAAAGAGAAAGGATGAAGAAAATGAATAGAATTGGAGATGAATGGATTGAGATTACCCGGAGGAGTGAGAGTTGGATCTTGATGGGCAGGTGAACGAAGTGAAAGGAAGTCATGCGTAGGTTTCCGGCCTGAAAGATTAAAACCAAGATCAACCTCCCACACTCACACCCACCTCTTAATGTGTGCTTATATGTTCTTCAAGAGTGTGTGTGTGTGAGAAAGACAGAGGAAGATGATGGTACCTTGAGTGCCATAGGAGTGGGGTTGAGGAAGCTCCATGTAGGTTCGATCAAATCAATTATATATTGTAGTTCCGTAAATCCTTCCCTAATTTCTGTGGGCGGAATTGTGGAGGTGGAAGGGATACGTTTCAGATTCAAATTAGTTGCCCAGATCTAGTAGTAGCCAGCGCATGTGGATGACGTGACTGCGTTTGCGTTTGCGTTTGCGTTTGCGCCTCCTCCTCCTCCGCTTGGATCTCGGAGGCGCATTCAACCCTACACCAATTTCCTCAGATTAGACTCCACCACCTTCGTATATCATCAGAATTCTGTAATCATATAACAAATTAACTGTAACAACTTAAGCTCCCAAAAATGGATAAACGTTGAATTCTGCTAGGAAGAAAATCATTTGACGAAACGCAGAATCACCGGGAATTACAATTGACGATGATACCATACTCAAACGTAACTTTTGCTTGATTGATTAATCAAACGTAATCATACCAGAGAATTAAGGTCTAGAAAATTACACCAACAGAATCACATAGATAGAAAGCAGAGTGATTAATGTACAGCTTTTGGTGAAACGAACAAAAAGAAGAATCAAAGAAACACCAATCCAGAGACAGATGATGCAACAAGTTAAAAACCTTACGGAATCCATAGATGTGCATACCTTTGATCTGAATATACAAAAGAAGTTGCAGAATTCAACTGTTGGAAGAATCAGGAATCAAGAATTATGTGGTTGAAAATTGCAGATAGATCGGAATGTTTGTAATTTAATCAAGAATTGAAGAAGGGGGTTGTGTGGGTGTTGGTTGTGATGAAGAGCTGGTTTATATACCATCTCCATTTGGGTTCTTCATAAACGCCGTTTCCTTTACCGTTATTAGGTCCCGCCGCAAACACTTCCTCACGTTTCCCCATACCCTATCTCTTTCTATAAATGCTTATCATTTTTATTTTTTTATAAAATTTAAAAGAAGTTGTCTCAAGAGTGTTTGCAAATTTGGATTTGTTTATTTAAAATAATTATTAACTTATTACGGTGTCAAATCGGTAATAAGGATTTTTAGTGATTAGACGGGAAAAAAGGGAAATTTATAAAAATAACCGTTTTACACAATCCTTTGCCACAAAATAACCACATTTTAGAGGTTTTGCCAAAATAACCACCCGGATCGCCCCCGGGGATCGCCCCCGTGAATAGTACGGATCGCCCCCGGGCGAGGTCAAACACGGTCAACGAGGTGAACAGTTATCTCGACTTTTGAGAATTTTTTTTTTTCATTTTTAAGGGGATCGCCCCCGGGTGGTTATTTTGGCAAAACCTCTAAAATGTGGTTATTTTGTGGCAAAGGGTTGTGTAAAACGGTTATTTTTATAAATTTCCCGGAAAAAAATTACTTACATCGGTTTGACATTGATAATAAGGAGTTTCTGATAAGTTGTTTTATTCCAACTTAATAACTTATTTCGGTATGGTACCGGTAATTGAGAGTTTTTAGTGTTTGGATGAAAAAAAAAGAAAAACTTATCATTTTATTACATTTTGGTGCTGTCGTAAGCTATTCCAAACACTTTTTATAAAATTTCAATTTGACAGTACATGAGTTGATAAGTGCACAAAGAAATATAAGTTGTTTTAAATAAGCAATCCCAAACACTAAAAAACCGTCAACTCGTAAAACTCGTCCAAACCAACCCGTTAACAAACCAACTAAACCCTCAATCTCCCAACCAGAAGGTTGAAATTAACCCGTCCAACCCGCCACTAACGTATAATTCTTATATATATATATCATTATATATTAATAATGTGTATAATTTCACATAATGTTTATTGAGATTATTTTGTATTTCATTTTAATTAAATATATATAGGTCATCAAAAGAGATTCACGATCAAATAATGATGACAAATAATCTAATTAATAGAGAAAATTGTTGAAATCGTTATTGCAGCAACAACAAATTGATATGCCTAAGAATATGAATGATACTGAGATATTTGGTTGACGAATCTATCGATCCAAACATTCTGTCATTTGATGTTGAACTTTGATGGAAAAAAATGCTTAGTTATAGCATTTCACTACAACAATAGATTTTATACGATGCCTAAAATGTTTAAACGTCATAATATGATACTTTGTAGGACAAAACCAAGAATATCTTATCTAAAAGAGTTACAATATGTTTATAAGATAATTTTGGGCGTCTTAACAAATTTTTATCACGCGTTTAAAATAAAGTGTGGTATTGTTATTTTATATGACGCTTCTTGAAAAAGTGTCATACAAACACAAGTATCCTATAAATAGATGAGTTTACGAGACACTTTTCAAAAAAATTCTATAAAATAACTAATATGACACTTTATTTAAAAATCGTTCTAAAAAACTTGTTGCCACGCCCAAAAAGCGTCATATAAACCTATTGTAACTTTTTTAGATAGAACGTTTTATAGTTTGGTTCTATAAACTTAAGTTTTATGAAATATTTCATTCGTCAATTTCTGTAACTATTAACCCGTCAACCCAACCCAACTCGCCTCAACCCGCAAGGGTTGGGTTGGTTTGAGTAATAATCTTGAATGGGTGGGTTAAAAATTTTCAAGACTGCCATAATTAGATTGAGTTGTAAAAACGTCATAAACTATCCAACCCACCCTGTATACATGACCCCTATCAAACACCCCCTTAGAAAATTTTGATTATAATAAATTTAAATCAAAAAATAAGTCTAAATGAAATAAATCAGGTAGTTATTATAAGTGGCAAGGTATCGCGTGAGAAGCGTAATAAGAGATCTGAATGATTAATCTCTTTTAATCTCATATCCACCTACGAATTGCATTTTACAAGAGAACTGATCTGGTGCATTTCGATACAACTCATTAGTGTTGATATTTTCAATTAAGAAAATTATGATAAGTTTACTCCCAAAACTTTACTTCCAAACATGGGAGGAAAAGGAAGCAAATGAAAGTACACAAATTAAAACTCTATAAAAAAATTATTAAAATTACAAAAGTATCCAACATTTCAATATAAAAGATATATTTTTTAAGGATATATTTGTAAAAATGACAATTTTTCTTTCCTCTTTTCTGTACAAGAACTTGAAAAAAAATACTTTCTTCTTTTCTTTTCATTTCTTTTCCTTTCCTTCCTCTTCATTCACTTTCGAAAATACAAAAAGAATTTTTTTTCGGTCACTTTCCCCTCAAATTCACAAACGTAGTGTTAGTGTAGGGATATGCTCAGACCAAAACATGTCACTGAAAAACTCTACTGAGACAAAGATGGCTGTCAAGAACGTAGAGGAGGTAGGATAGGTAGTTGGTCAGATCTAGTATGGATCGTACATGGACGGTGGTGTCACACATTACTTATGAGAGATTGTGATAGCTTTATAAATTATATATATAATACTTAATAACATCTTAGCGGCCGTTTACCCAAATGCTTACTCGGTAAGCGCTTACCAATAGAAGTCAACGCTATAATTTATTTTGATGCGTAAGATTTTAGTACATCAAAACATATCGAATGCAACAATTTAATGGATAAATGCTTACCTGGGTAAGAGTTGTTATCCTCACTTACCACGTAAGACTCTTCATCCTTCTCATAGCTCTTACGCGGTAAGATTCTTGGCCCTTCTCATGTTCATCCGATGAGGAAATTTATGCGTTAAACACTTACCAAGTAAGTGTTTAGTAAACGGCTCCTTAGTAATGGATACATTATTGTTCCTTGATAATCTTAAGCCATGATATAATCCACATAGACATGTCATAAATGATACATGTCTAGCGTTCGACTATTGCCTTCACTGTTCAGTCTTGATATCTCTTAAGATATATATATCATAGTCAACTTATAAGTTCAGTAATTTTGTTATGGTATTCCACGCAAAACATGTTCTAGAACACATCGTGTATAATTATGGTAATTTAATGTCAACTTTCTTTAATTATATGACAACATAATATAACAGGTTGTACGTAAACATGCAAAAGACGACATCCAAAATACCAACTTCACTTTCACACAACATACAGGTTGTAACACGTCCCTCGCAATCATCCAACACATTATCTGAAACAACTTTCGTAGAAGAGTTATGTATACCATCTTCATAAAAAGTGCATGCTCACATAACATGTTTTCCTTAGCTTTCTACTTGCATAGAATCAAATATGGGTCACTTTATCAAGTCTGAATGCACCAAGTAAAAAAGGCAGTATTTAGTTTGTATCGGTGCTTAACTACTCCTTAAATTGGTGATTGAATTTGTGTCGAGGTTCACCGTAACACTGATGATAAAATATACATGTACGATTTAGCTTTGTATGATGTCTATTGTTTTCACCAAATATAGAGACGCTAGGAAGCTTATACCTGTGTTCACAACATAGGTTAACACAACCCTTATTATCGACGTCCCAACAAACAAGCCCATACATGTACAAAAATCATTCATGCCTAACATACTTTCATATTAGAGGTGATCATTTACGGGCTTAGACGGCTACAGGTCGGGCCTAACATATTTTTCTTGTCCAACAGGCCTAATATAGCAAATGTAAGTCTGTTTTTATGTAAGAAAAACTTATTTCTCATAAAATATGGAGTTGGACTTTTTCTCTCCAAGAATTATCACCTTTTGTAATTTGGATTCTTCAACAACAAAATATCTAACCACTTAATATTTGAAGATCGAGTTTCGAAACGCACTATATGACATATCACATATATTGTATATTTGGAAGGTGGTTGATACTCAGCAGATGGAATCCAACCCAAAACCACTTTTAGACTTAGGCATGAGAATGAGACTCGTCCCATTGGGCAACACGGTGTACCCACCCCGATGGGGACGAGGATTCCCAACAAAACCGGGACCGGGGATGGGGACAGGGTCGGGTAACATGGTTTAGGGACCCCCCCCCCCCAATATTATATACACACACACACACACACACACACACATATACATACTAGAATGATACTCGCGCAATGTAGCGAGATACATCGAGATAATGTTTCATTTTATTTTGTCTCTGTCGATATAATACAGTTTTATGTGGTTTTGAAAAAACGATAATATTTATATTCATAGAAATTTGAAAAAAATATATCGATATTAGTATCAAATTAACTATTTAAAATTTCTCGTTCTTTATGTAGTTTCTTTAATTCAAACTTTTTATTATAATCTAATTTAGGTTTAATAACGAAGTAATTTATTTTTAGTTTAATAATATAAATTTTATGAGGATAATAATTAAGTATTTTGTTATAAGTGTAACTCAATGATTATCCTAATTATATTTTACATTTTTATATTTAAAATAAGAGGTTTATCTTGTAGTTGATTATGTTTATCTGCAGTTAGTTACACGAATTCAAACATGAAGCTTTAATAAGTTGTAATTATGCATAATTTACTTGTAACCTCGAATTTTAAGTAATATGCATTAATAAACAGTACTTCATGCATAAAAAAAATGGTTTTTAAGAGTATTTGTCAAATGCTTTATAATATAGTATAGATTATTAAATATATTATATACAAAAAATCAGATTTAATATCTTTTAGATTAAGAAATAGTATTTGACATTTCTTTTTATATATATTTTTTCTAAGTTGTTTTACTTTTTTTAGATAAAGAACGTTAAAAGTCGAAAGCGTTTGATTGAACATTTTCGTATGATGTTGTGGTTTTATTCACATTGAATATTTCATGCTCTATAAAAGCAAATATGTGAGATTTAAACATG